TAAATTCGATAAGTGTTAACTAAATTAGCAAATTCCTACATGGTGTCCTTCAAGGCTGATGGAGGGCAAGAGCATCTGTCCACTAGATCCAAGACCTTGATAAGAAATTCATGCGCATCTTCTTGAGTTGTAAAGTAATCACCACCAAACAGCCCTCGAAAAGAAAACACTCTATGAAAAGGAATAATCCACCACCATCACGAACCAAAAAGGCGTACTTCTCCAGTGAACAAGGATCCAGTCCATTCGGTGAGGAACCCCGTTAATGCGTAAAACCCGGAAGACATGTTTCTTCAAATCACAACAGAAACATCTACCACTGAGACTACCTGAAAGCATATTTACGTTTGATGCAATTAATATGCATGAGTGATTAGGATTACAATAGTTCACATCGCATCGCAGATAAAAAAGAATTCTGCGCGATGCACAACATAATGATAGGAGCAGGCCAATCGATGAAAGCGTAATAGATCTCTAACTGCAAAGTCTAATGAATAGAAAAGGATGCTTAGCAGTCATATCCGTGAAGTAAGACTTTACCAAAGTTGACACCCTTTGAAAGATGAACAGAAACATTCCCCTTAATGAAATGAGATTTGGGAATAAAAAAATACAAACCATGATTGTGATTGTGCTTGTCCACGATAAAACGCACGAAGGGAGCAGTGTGGACAAGAGTTTGCATCACAGCTATCATAAAACAATGTTGAGCTGAATTCCAAATACCCTCAGCGCGTTTTAGATTCTTCTGGAATGTAGTAATTAAACTACTGGCAGTAAAAATTCGAGGATAAACTTCATAGCGAACTACTGTACATGCCAACAAAAGAAAAAAACCTACAACAGGTGAGAAGTTGTTGAAATCCCAGATATCTTTCAGCTGAGGATCCAAAACTGGAAATTTCTGTTCAATTTTCCCCTTTTCTGACAGTCTACGAACCCGAATCGATGCGGGACTACCATCTAGAATGAAAGCTTTATGGAAATTGACAACAATGCTTGTCGTCTTGGAAGTCTAACAAGGGAAGGATACTTGGTCGAAGTGGCGATATAAAAAGTGATGCACACTGGTAGATGCAGCTTTGGATGCTGATTCCAAATCTGCCTTCCATATATGCAAAGCATTCCTCTGGAAGAAGTCATGGAAGCTTTTCTATGTTGAAATTAGCCTGTGCGGCTCTCAATAAGGCTCTACAACATCAAATCCAACCAGAAACAACAAGCGGATGGTTCAATTTTATTATGAAGACATATTTTGTATCTAATCAGCCTTTGCGCTGCTGTTTTAGGTCAAGTTTGAATTTTTGAGCATTTTAATCCAGGTATGCCTCCGTAACTTCTTCCAAAAAGGCGCTTCGCAGATATGGAAGGTAGATTTAAAATCAGCGTTTCAAACTGCATGTAACAATACGTATCCCTTTTTGAATCGCCACTTCGACCAAGTATCCTTCTCTTGTAAGATCGACT